TCGCGATTCTGGATTCATATAGCAGATTTCAAATATTAACACAATAGTGAATGAAATTTATTAATTTAATAATTTGAAACCATAATTTTTCGTTTAATCTTTAAGTTTTTTCATACATTTTAAATGTTATCGCATTATATTATGATCTACAGTGTTATTTACCAAACATGCTCATCCATCTTTTATCATTTAATGATACAGTTATTCAAGTTCTAATTTTTGGAATTTTTTTAGTATCCATAATTAAATACCATATTTTGCATATGCTTACTATTTATATAATGACCTGTATAGTGGTACAAACTTATTTTTATAAATGATAATAACCTTTTGTAATGATTATTACAATTAATGTTACTATTTTTTTTTAATTCATATAAAATCAAAATCCGAACGAGTAGTTTTCAAGTTATTAAATTGTATGTACATTATATATACCTACTTAKAATAAAGTATTTATCTTAAATTAAATATAAAATAAATTAAASATTGTGTCAGAACATGTATACAAACTAGGTAAATAAAATGAATACCTATATATTATTATTTACTATAATTTTTAAATCATCGTAACCTTTATAGTTTATATATTTAATAGTATTTTCAAGAACTCTCAATTATTATTAGTAAATTGAGTTAAATGTTTGTTCAGATTTTGATTCATATACTTAAATATTTTCAAAAAAATAATCTGATTTTCGATAAAAAATGTGATTATCATTTGGTAAAAAAAGTTTGCACCGTCACAGGATATTGCTTGTTGGCATAAAAATAAAAACATTTGAAAATATCACCAAACTTTACATTGAAAATTTTAAATAAATTCACTATTAAAGAAAAGTGTGAGTATGCATGATGAATCACCCTGTATATTTAGAAACATTTTTAAAAAATTTATAAATAATTCTTCACAAAAAGTCGTTTAAATTTTAAATATATTACTCTAATACTTCAGCAAAAACCGGTATAATCTTTTAAATTTCACACTTGATATAATTTCTTCAACTTATACGCCTTTTATACACTATATTAGTATTGRCTTCAATAAAATACTACCATTTTTGTAAAAAAAAATTAAATATATGCAAATTATAAACAAATTAAATTTGACTTAAATTAAACGATTAATTATCTCTGGAATTTACAATTAAAAGAAAAGAAAATAACAAATTACTAAACTGTTCTATGCCATGCCATTAATTTTAAAGCAATAAAACATTTAATCATACAAAATGAGTATGCAATAATGATTTAAATTCTAGAATATTAATATTCATATATTTATAAATATTACTCTTTATATATTTAACTTTTAAAATAATAGACAATATCTATTTGTGTTGATTACTTTTTATTTTTTGTAGAAATAACTAGAAAAGCTATGCGTTATTAGTGGGTGAAGGGCAAACTAAAGCCTAAGAGTAGAAGCAACAAGTAATAATGCTGTACCTATCAACATATAAAGTATACATTATAAATTATAATATAAAAATATAATACTAAACAACACAGTGAAATCGATCACATAATCATTCAATAAAATAAAGTATGGACGTGTGGTATATACAGTTTTATATATATATAAAAAAAAATGCTAAGCCAATTTACAAAATGTAGATACCTTAAAGGGCTTAAAGGTAAAATATTTTAACAGCTGTTTTACGAATCTTTTTTTGCTTCATATTTTCAATTAATTTCGAGAAAACTTTTGATAGTTATTTATTTATAACTTTCCGTTGAATTTAATGAAAAGATCGATCATTGATCAACCATACAAATTTCTCAGACCAGTTTTCATCWGTTTATCAACAATTCACCTCGATTGATCATTCACGTGATACTATGGGACACGGATTATAATGTATATTTGTGTGTGTGTTGGTCATTAGGTTTTTTTTATAAGCCAATTGGACCATAAAAATTAAAAAGTTTACAAGTATGCATGATTTTTATATGCGTATCGTTTACACATTATTCGATATGGGCACTATAATGAGGATTTTCTTAATTATATAAATTGTTCGGCGGAATATTAAAAACTCGATAATTCGAAACTATGGTTCTGGTCTTGAGCAAGGACCCTTTTAATTTTTTTTAATAATTTTAATGGCRTGGCGTGCCATTGCAAGTAGGTATATGTTTCTATAGCGGTTAACCTGTTAACAGCGAAACGAATTTCAGTCAGAGGAAAAAACATTAAAACCACCAACATATATATATTATATACATATAGCTTCATTTTTCCTACCAGGAATTCAAAAAAGCACACGTATTTAATGGGGGATGCTATTACAAAATTGTAATAATTATTATTAAAAATGACGTTCAAATTGGTATTATAAAGAATATAATATGTTTTCCATACGGAAATATCGGTAATCCCATTAATGTATGCCTTTGGCGTACTAGGGATTATAATATAATATATGCAATGTGACAACGAGAACTGTTCAAAAATTAAAAGGATGTTTCATAAAATTTGCAGTTAATATTTTAATCTAGATTTATGGAAATCTCAAATATATTTCGTATTCGTTTTCCCTGGCACGTCGTATGGATACGAATATTTAATTAATGGACAGAGGTCGAATCCCTCAACCATTTGTTTTTCTACTGTGTATAGAGATTAATACTCTTTAATTTCGTATGCATAAGCATGTAAGGAAATTAAATATTTAATATGCAAGTTGGAAAAAAATGGATTTAATGAACTCGGTAATGTTATTGAGAATTACTTGTTTTACTGTAGGACCTACAGTAAAACAGGCCTAACCTAACCTAACCTACAGTGTAGGTATAATGATATCATATAGGTTTTTCATACCCCAGGTGTTTTCGAATAGAGATTGTAAATGTAAATTAATTTTCTCGACTCTTAAGCTGCAGTGTATGATATGCGCTCGTGAAATGTGYTTACAGTTTAAAATACAACGAACGTTTATTTTAATTATTTTAGAATTATTGGGCGTGTTTATACATAAAAAAAATTATTAAAAAATACCAGACCTATTACAGCTGAATTTGTAATATAATTAAAATGTCGGTTTACTTAATTGTTTGTTTTTCCTACAAAAGAATAATAAAAAATATATTTAAAAGTAATTAATAGCCATTCCGGCATACAATATTGATATATTACTATTTTAAATAAAATCGATTATTYTGAATATTTACAGCGTATCAAAAATTCAAAACATTATGTTTGTAAAAAATGTAAGGATCTTGTCTTGTCGTATTTTATCTACGTGAAGATTTATATACCACAGCTGTTTTTTGTCGTTATATATTATTTATACAATCGTCCACCACATTATAATTTTATGTGGGCGCCTGCCATCTTGCGATTTCTGCACCAAAAAACTTCTTTTCATAATGTCTTCAAAGAATTATTCGAAAAGACTATTGCAGAAAGCACTTAATGAGCGCCGCCGTCCTTTCATAAACTACCATAGCAATAMGTTGGTGGCATCGCGTGTTTTTATGCAGTATTTGACATTGAAATGTCTCCACGGGGATTCTATAGATTGAATATTGCCGTATTGGCCTCTGTTTTTGGATCAGTAAAGTGTATCTGGTCAATGATGATTTACAGTCATATGCATGTATCCGTCAGCTGTGGTCACTTAAGTAGCTCTAAGCCTTCCATTCGTCCGAGTGAATTTTATGTCTGATAACTTTTACTGCACGTTTATTAATGGGAAGTAACGTGGCTYTAACGGTACAATCAAAACTTCCACGGACTGTGCTCTTGATACATATAGTTTAATATGACACTGAAGTACATAAACGTGTAGGCTGTGGACTGTATTATTAATGTTTRTAATTACTTAATAATACCAGCAATGTAAGCCTCATTTCAACCTCTATAGGTTACAGAACGGGTGATATCTATATAATGAATATTATCATCCGTTCTSTATATAACATACGACGCGAGTCTTAAATGTAATTTGATGTGTAATGTGTACCCATATACTTAAAAGTTAAATTATAGATAAAAAGGTTTATCAGTGTCAGTATTAGTAAATGGCAGTGCAACGTGGTTGGGGGACCTTGTTACGATATTAGTTATCCAGGGAAGGTTTTCTATTCSTTATGGATAAGTTTTCCGCAGCTGGGGGTTAGAGCACTGCAGTGTATGAGGTATTTTATCAATAATAAGACACGTTTGGTTTATAGATCCATACTAATTATTATATTAAAAATAATACTTTACTAATGTAGATGGTTGTTAATAAATKTATTTGGTGAGTTCGCTCCTGTTGATGGTGACTGTCGAACTAACTGCTATATGTGTCATTTTAATGATAAGTAATTATGTGCATGGGTAGAAAAGTGTTGAGTGTGTATATTATGTATTGGTCAATCATATAGTGTGTGTTAAGTGTGGGTATAATATTTATATGTATATATATATTATATATATATATAAGGTGTAACGAATGTTACAGTAGCTAAACATTTGTTACATAGGAAAGTATAGAACTATAGAAGACAGTAATGCTTAGGTAGGTATACAAATAATACCTACTTTTATTAAGATTAAAACTAACATTTTGCAAATTAGTATGATTTGAATTTTAGTTATTTTTCTTTAAGTAGTAGGTATCACTTGAGTGGGAGCCTATACTCACTACAAATCATTGTCTAACAAATTATTCAAATTAATTTCGTCAGTTCGACAACAATAATTAATAATTTTTTTTTGTTTTACTTAGTACCTACTTAGTCGTTAGTACTTATTATACACATTAGACTATTATATAAATAATTTTGTCTTTATAACTGAATTAGTCTATATCACGAATTAAGATCTTAATTCATCGTTCATAATATTAAAATTAAGTTATTTAACTTTTATACTTCGGGATTCWTCCATTTTTTTTATTACTTAATAATTATTCAATTTGATTGTATAATTTTGTATTATACTGTCAAATTGACTGTACCAAGTGAACTTACATTATATATTTTCCATATAATCATAAAATGGTTTTCAGGAATACTTAAAATGGCCACACAGATGGGATTCCTATCTTACGGAGTAATTTTGACACTTACGGTCTTAACTGTGTTATTGCCAATACTGACGACAGGAAACGTCATAGACCAGAGAGTACTGCAGAGAGAACTCGGAGAAAACTCTCCAGAAATGATGTCAATGAGCGACAAGGATGATTTCCGCGACATTGAAGAACCGGCTGTCAATGATTATACCATAAAAACTAAGGTTTTTAATTTGATAAATAATTGTACATCGTTAAATATCTCCTTATTAACTTTTAACAAGATATTAAAAAGTTCACAAAACCCGTTACGATCTTTAATATTAGGTAGTATATTTTATATAGTTACGTAACATAAAATGAAGCGTAATTATCTAACGATTTCAAAAAATTTATCACAGAAGTAACATCGACATCCAATTACTAACAGACACAAAAAAATAATCTGATTTACGTAAAAAATAACAGAAAATCGTATTTTTTTATGTTGCTTTTTTTGTAACCTAAGTAACTTGAATATTGTAATCTAAGAATTCGTAAATAATAAAATAGCATAATCATAATCATCAACTAACATCAAAATAATCCTATATATAAATGAAAAACAATACGTTTAAGTAGTGTTTAAATATAAAATAACAAATATTTATGTATGGAACAACGTATACGTAAAGCAATGTATTAACTTTTCATTAAAATAAAAGGGATAAATATCAAAAAATAATATCAAAAAACCATTAGAATATTAATATGTGTACTATAAAAGTGTTGTAGATTGGCATAATATTACATAGGTAGGTACATACTACATACAGAAATATTAATTTATCTTTTTATTTGAAGTTATAATATTATGAACCCAATATGTATTATGTACACGTATTTAATTTCTTCGGCTAGTATAGGTATGGGAAAATATTTTTAAACAGCTTTTCATAATAATTAGATAAATGTTCTCAAATTAACGCTCAAAATAATTAGTTTTAGTTACACGTATAATATTATATACCTTGTACCTCACAAATTTTGACAAAACAACAAAAATACAGTAAATATAATATTATKTATAAATGACATTGTGATGATATGTTAAAATGTTTTAACGAATATTGTATAAAATTATGTGAAATTCAGTACAAGTACTTATGTAGACAACACTAGACAGTGCTAGAGATTTCAATTATTACAATATTAACAGAACGGTATTATGTTGCTTCAAAACAAAAACAAAGCATTTTTGAACATTATACCTACAGATACTTATATTAATATAAATTTCTCTCATATAGATAGGTAAAGGTAACGCGTTTTTATGTTTAAAAACAGACAAATAAAATATATAAAGTAGGTAATATCGGTAATAGCTGTTATATAGATATACCCGCGAAGCTTTTTTCTTTTTACATATTTTATTATATTGACCCTGACTTGAGAAGTTTTTATTTAGACATTTTGACGCGCATAGCTATTTCGAGTTTCGAGTTTGAAAAATACCATAAACATACTTTAACTATACTTTTTTTTAAATTAAAAATATTGTATACCTATACATGTAAGCAAAAAGCAGCATCTAATGTACAACGCTTAACTATATAGATAAGACATTCATAAAGACGTGTAGATTTCCATCGTATCCTCCTTGTGATCTGTCACATTATACTTATTTCATTGTATAAATCATTCAATCTAACTTATCATAAATGTTTTAGTCTTGTCACCTTGGACAAATTTCCCTACACAAGTATACAATACAATATAACGCCCATCCAACTGCAGATTTTCTGCTCGTGTAGTTTTCGTATATATAAATACTATATAAAACAGGGCTTTTTAATGATTATATCTAAATGCACAAAGTATTCCTATTCTTGGATTGTAGTAGGTCCTACACTCTGCTGTATACTGTATACTACCTACATTTTTTACTTTCATAAGACTGAATGTACTCAGAACCCATATGCATAAAACTATAAACATATAAATTCGAAATCTACCCTTGATGTACCAAATATCATTTTATATTAATGCGCTGTCTTATTATAAATAATAATTTTAAATATATTAGTAATAATACTTACTAAGTAATATGTACTTGTAATAGGTAGGTAGTTTGTAATAATGATTGCTTATAAAAATAAAAACAATCAATTGAATAGGAAAGTTCTTTTTAATTCTTGTGTTAAACTTTAACCTTAAATAATAGTCTAACAACGAATGTCATTAACAATTTTTAATTTTAAAACTTTTTTTTAAACCAAGTATAAAGCATAAATATTCTTAAATTTTCTATAATATAATAATAAATTATATATATACCCTCRAAGTCGAGAAACAAAGATAATTGTTGTAACCAATTAGAACAGAGAGCAAGATAAAACCATAGAACATTTACGTTCTATGGTAAAACTAAAACGCTAATAATACCTAATTAATCAACTACATAGATTATTAGCTTTAACACAAGTATTACATTTTTACATTTTTACATTATTATATGTTATTGTACAATTCAATTTTTTTTAGATATAAAATTATGTTTTGATAGCTAGAAAATAGACCAATTATTGCTTCGTAAAAGTTGTCAGGGATGTTGAAGYCTTTCCTAGCTTCATTGAAGTTTGGGCAGTGGATGATGATGTGTTTGATGGAATAGTTTTCATTGCATGTTGGGCATAGGGGTGGAGATCTGTCTTTCCCATAAGGTTCCATGTGTGAATTTTCTGTGGCCTATATACTAAGTCGAATAAGAATTACCTAATTTTTCTGTTTAGGTCAGTGTATTTCGAGCAGAGTTCAACAGAGTACTTAATTTCTCTTAACTTATTTTCCGTGGTAGTGTGCCAATTGATGTTTCACAAATCAATGCAATATTTGTTTATATTTMTTTTTATGTCAACAAGTGATGAAAAAATAATTATTTCACTGGTGGGACTATTTAATGCGTTCCTTGCTGCTTTATCTGCCTTATTTCCTTTTAATATGTTGCAGAGACCTGTGGTCCAAATGAATCTAATGTGTTTGTTTGATGATGAAAGAAGGTTAATATTTTTTAAAGCCAATGTCTGAGTTATTTTCTTATATTGCAGATTAGGAAAGGCATTGAGTGAACATAAATATATTTTTGTATCATTGATTTATGGAGCTAATTGGGCTCCTTAATATAGTGCTAGGTATTCGACTGTATAAATATTAAATACTGCTTAAATTATTAAGTTTGAACTGTTTAGTTACATTGAGGTGGACTACAGCAAGTCCTATACCCGTTTCACTTAATTATTATTTTATTATATACAATAATCATCAATCTAATATTCTTTTTTTGCACTGCACAGAGTAACAATTTTTACTGCACAAAATGTGTCTCACTAGACGCAAAAAAAAACCCTGAAACTATATATTACTATACTTTACGTACTCCACACGTATATATAAAATAAGATTTATTTCTATATTTTTGATTTATAATTTAAACTAAATCAAGACTTTTTTTAGTATAAGAAAGAATGATAAATATTCTCAATACTTTTAACGTCTTCTGCTTGTATACGCCACCTACATCACTACTTAACCAATAAACTCCTTCGAAATTAATTCTGAACTTATGATATTAACATTATTTTTTATCTTTTATGTATATAATACCTATATTACATTTATTTACCCTTTATCTATCATGTTTTCTATTAAATTTGCTCTAATAGAAATAGTCACACTAAAGCTCGATCCAACCTGTGAATATAATTACCTATATCCACTATATCTAAAAATCTTTTTGCATACTTGAGAAAATTTCATGCGTTAGGGAATTTGTTTAGCATATTTTGGAATATTTTTTTAAATTGTGAAAAATAAACATTAATTTTTAATAYTACGGTATTCGAACATTTTTTCAAAATATTTATAATTTTTTTTTTCACGTCGATAAAAAGAAAACATGCAGAGTTATAGCACCTATCATGAATTACCGTGCCATTTACTCAACCTAGTGGATAACCTGCAATGCTGGTAGTTGTTTTCTTACTTAAGTGATCTTACTGAAATGTTTATCGCATATTTAAATGACCAAATATTCTATTTTGAACTTTTTTAATTCCGTATTTAACTGTGTTTGTATGATTTTTAAGGTAGACGACAACTTAACAAAATAAAAACCAGTTAACTTTAAAACGCAAGATTAGATTTACACCTTACAAATTAAATAAACGTATATTAAAGCATATATTGATATTTTTTTGATTATTTTTGTATATTTTAAGATTTCTAAGAGAATGTGATAAGAATATTTGTAAATTTTTGAGAGAATATTAGCATCATGCTTAAAATGTTGTTTGAARAGAATGTAAGTCGTCTTTAGCTATATCATATTACAACGATGACATTACATTATTCCTGAAAAAAGTACATTCTTTTCAGCATTTAAATGAATAATTGTTTTTACTCATCCTATAATTATTGCACTATTATTATTTTTATCCTTTGATGTTTCTGCCTACCTTGGTTTTTGTTTCTAAACATTAAATATCTGTAATTTAAGAGTGTGTTAATTARATTAAACTGATTAAAGGATGTYAAGATTATCTCAATTGCGTAAATATATTTTTTTTTTAATAATTATATTTAAATATTAAAAGTTAATTACTAACGGAATCGGGTCCAAATCGCTAAAACAGCGAATTTAAACTACCTATAGTCATCGTCGACAGATAGTATGAATATAATACATTTAAACGTTTATGAAAACGAAATAGGGTAAACGTCAGTAGCATTATACAAACCTATACGTTCGGATGTTATAATATATCTGTAAACAAATGACAAAACAATAATAATATCATACTATAACTTATATTTTATATGCGTTGAAATTCTATTTCATTCAGAGATATGTGTTCTGAAGACAATAGGTATAAACATAATATACATAAATAAATATTGTTTCTCAAAATTCTTTATTACCCACCTGGGCCATCTGCTACAATAGTTTGAACAACAAACTTAACTGGCGATGACATATTATCATATAAATATATTTAGCATTTTATACGAAATACAATATATAGGTAATATTATTATTATATACCGTGGTCTAACACGGGTTAATGATTGCCTATGTACCTATTATGATAAATCGACACGAATTTTTAATATCGCGCATGTGTTACAGAGCGAAGACCAAAACCTCGAGAATGCGATGATCGACTATCTGTTTGCCAAACAAATGATGAACAGAATACGCGCCCGGACGAATTCGTATCGTTCGCAGAAGAGAAGTTATTGGAAGCAATGTGCTTTCAATGCGGTTTCGTGCTTCGGTTAATTATGACGTGTGAACGCATAATATATAAGATCGTATTATACATCATTTACGGCAGCACGTTAGCCCTTCATATAATAACAATATACAACGCTTTTTAATATTCAACTATTTATTTCGATTATAATATTATATTAGGTAGGTAACTGTAGTTATTTGCATCCATATAGACATCTATAATGTTTACTGTTTATTAAACTATACCTATTATGCCAAAACCTATCATTAAATTATTCTCGTGTAGCAAAAATAACAATAATTATTATTTATGTAATAACATATAGGTACCCACTACGCATATTACCTACTTTGGCAAGATTAATAATAATTTATAATAATTTATATTATAATATAATATATACGTTCGTTTATAATATTTCCTACAATTATCAATATGGTATCATAATATACATTACCTATGATGTTGATCTAAAATAATTTACTATTAAATGGTTTGAATAAAATAAAGTTGAATAAACAAAGTTTTAATTTGTCTTATAATATATGTCTATTACTATTTACTATCATAATAATATATTCTACTCATCGTTTGAAGTAATTATAGCTTTGATGTCTACAACAATATATAGGTGTGGGTCAGACTGTATTGCATCTTTTTATTTTCCACGTTGACAGTATTGACACATTGTAATTTATTGCTAAATGTAAATTATTAATGTGATTCGTGAAATGTATAACAGTTTAAATTGAAAAATGTTTAATTCAATTTGTACGTTTTTACATGTATTAATTAACTCATTTATGCATTTTGATGATGCGATGACGAAAACAATACATTTTTTAATTGGTCCTTTTATATACTTCTCTATCAATCAATACGAAATCACAAAATGACGAAATACCTATTAGGTAAAGCCAAATGGCACAAGTATGTGACATCAAAGATGTAATCCGCCATCGATCTGCACATTATGAATAAATGAAAGTGGTCGAATTGTCTTAGGTTTGGTGAAATCGGCCTTCTTTTGCATTTGAGATATACTTAACATAAGTCGAGTTAGTTAATAGTTATTAATAGGGTTCGGAAATTATTACGATTATTACGATATGTTACAATTAAATGGAGAAAAAATAAATAATAAAACTTCTAATTTTGGTAAATATTTTATTACGTAGGTAGGATTAAATTTTAGCATATTAAGCAATTTTAGTGCTATCTACTTCAAAGTTCGCGAGCCCTATATTTATATTAATCTAACGAAGATTGTGATAAAATAAAAAATAAAAATTGGTAACAAAGTATATAGCTATAATATTATAACATAATTAAACTGTCAATATGAATATGTGTAGGCATGTCATCAGTACTCTGGTATCTACCTACACTAAATAACACCCCGTGGTGGTACCAACGTCGTTATTTTTTGGCGATGAATTAATAGTTGTCATAATATTATAACCTCACGCCACAACGTTACTTAAAAAAATAAACCTAACACTACGGGACACTCTAAATCCATATAATACGGTTATAATATATCAGACCAGCATTATCGTAGTGCGCATACCGATACCGTAATAGGGTATGTGAAGCAGCGTAGCTGTTTCTATTTACTATATAAATAGGTACTCACCTATATACAATATACATCTTTTTTTWAAATAAATTGTAAACAAAAATCGATGAATAATATTTTTTATATTTTCACTAGAAAAATATACAATCTGTAAATAGGATTATGAACATAATTATAACAAATCGTTAATGTAAAGAAAAATCTCATGACGAGAGAAACCATCCGTTTTATTTATAGTACCATTTGATTTAGGATGTCTTTGAACCATTGGATTTCAAAGCGACTTGGCGAGCCTTTGGAGGGTTTTCACTATGAATGCGTGTCTATCGGCTATGGTCTATGTCATAGACTCTATGACGAATGACGATACATGAGAAGAAATCGATGGCTTGGACGTCGTTGGTGTTGCTTGTAAAACATATTATAGTAGGTACAGGGTAACTTTTTGAAAGGTATGCCAACAACTAAGCATCAGTCCAAAAACATGTTCAGCAGGGCAATTTCTTATATCGTACCTACTGTAAAGTTATTACGAAATTGTTTTTTCTTGATACGCACGAAAATTGTAATCTTCTTATTTTTGATCCAATAATCTTATATATTATAATGTATATGTATTACCGGCTACCACGGTTATCTAGTACCTATTACAGTAATACGACTATTACCAAATAATGGTAAGTGTAACTGTGTAAGTAGGTAATTGAAAATTCAATTCCAAAATTAAAAAAGAATTATTCGTTTTCGAATGATGCCCGAATATTCTTTTTTCTTTTATTATTATTATCATCTTGCCACGGTTATGAGGACCTAAGTGCCTCAACGACAATAATATTGCAAATGTTATCTCAACCCAGACTCAACCTACAAGTTCACAGAATAGCAGACAATATTTGCAATCAAAAGTCACACTKCTWTCAAGCACAGTAGTGCCAAAAAGTTTTTATTACGAAATATTTTAAAGTAAAAGAAGTTTTCGTATTTGCACGATGTCCATGGATGAATATTGTGTAGGGACCTAATAAAACTAAAATAGATTTACTTAAATTATTTAAATTTTAATATTTATATTAATTATTGTACCTACCTATATAAAATAAATCCTGAAATACTCTGTCATGTATAAAATATTTAATAAAAAACTAAACATTTTTATATTAAGTTTAAATAACATGTCAATAATAATATAACATGGTCATAATTGCTCAAATACTTATAATATAGTTCATAACTTATAACCCTTTAAAAAAAGATTATTTTTGCTCAGTATGGAAAACATTGTAATCAGGTCAAAATGCAATCTTGACAAATTTTAGGTATGCATAAGTATATCCTCTAACAGCTCTAACACCTCAAATGTCAAATGACGACTTTGTTTTAATACATTTAGGGCGGGTTGCATAAACGTCCTGTAACTACTTACAGATCTGTAAGTACGTTAACGGATCTGTAAATAAAATTAGGTGTTGCTTGAACGCTCGGTAAAGTTACCGGCTCTGTAAATTATCGGCTACCGGACCTGTAAACTGCAGATCCGATTTGGGCTCTGTAACTAATTACAGATCGGTTAAAATAATATAATATTAT